TTAAGCCTTGGCATGCATTTTTTGCCGAGCAAGAAAATGCATGCCAAGGCTTAAAGCAGCAACAACGCTACACATAAAAACTGATGATGGTGGAATAATACACCAAACAATATACAGGGTGTTTCAAGTGTGTGTCAATGATGGTGGAAAAATACACCGAAACGCATTTTAATTGATAAATAGAAACAATAAATGACTGAAACCCGGGAATTAATTTTGACTTAATTAGAACCTCAAAGACTGTCATCTTCGGGTAATGAACACGCAACAAACAGCGATAAATTAATTAAAAATATACACAAGACAAACCATAAATAATGATCATGTTAATCTGTAAGCCGAAACATAGAGGGCCTGAACACATTCCTGATCATATCAAAAGTTTACCGCTAATGCTTCAATTAACTGACCGAAAATCTCCAGATCAAACATCAGCGGTTCAACATTGAACAGATCGGTGAAATCAATACGAGTTCTTGAGATCCACAAGACCATTCAAGCCGTTGACGTATCGGCAAGCACCATCACGTTTGGGAGTAACATATGGAGTGCGGAAGAAGTTGTAGGTACGACGTGTAAAATAATAGGAGCTTTTACGATCTTCGGATCATGATAAGAGCAGCTGCATTTAAACATTCCCTCCGGTTCAAATCAATGATTATTCATTGTAAACATGCGGCTTGAGTTCAGTTTATCTTTGTCGGTGATTGTCTTCGAGTGTTGGTTGCTTTTGGACCCTTTGGGAACTGGAGGATTTTTTCTTAATGTAACGCGAGAAAAATCAAATTTAACTGTGGAGAAATTTCAATTCTCTGGCATTAAAGGCGAGTAGTTGCGTATATGTATATAAAACCCAATTTACTACAGTACTTAACTAAGCGGTTTATTGACATTTACGCTACAGGATACTGGGATGATTAATATACGCCTAGAAACCACTCTAAAAATGGTTTGGTAATTGGAAATCCACTCGGAAGATTATAAAGGAAATTAATAGCTTTTCGGATTTTCCATTTGGCCTGGTTAGAAGTTCTTCAAAACAAAACTTCTCATTCAAGCCTTCAAAAGAAAACTATTCAACAGTCACAAAATGAGTCAAAAATCAACGCGAACAAATCTTCAACATGAGAGAAAAAACACAGTAAAACCAGGAGAAATACGCAAATAAAATGAAGCCCAGCTTCCGGGCAACGAAAGGGATAAATATTTGTTTACTCGACACAATTTCCTCGAAAGTAATTGGTATCTCGTAATAAAAAGGCAAACAAATCCCATTCAACAACCTCCCAAATAGACAACAAAAATATTGACTTGCACTGTCGCAGTGAATTTTCGAGTGTTTGCTTTATTCCTTTCGGATGCAAATCGGTTGCATGGGCGCATTTAATTAACTGTGTCATTAGCTGCTTGACGAATTGTCGAGGCTTAGGCCCATTTCGATAAACCAATATTTGCCCGGTAAAATAATGCCGTTGGCGGTACGGAGAAAATTCGAAAATTTCAATACGACACAATATAAAATAAAACCATTAGGCAAACAGAACGAACCACGGTGAATGCACAAGTTCCATACGAATCGCCCAAGTGCTTTGCCTACATTCCCACCTGTGAAGCAACGGACATTAAAAATGAATCTTTCAATTTCAAAGAGCAGGCATTAAATTACACTGTCACAATCAGTTTATGTAAAATTAACAGTGGGACACCTATTCTTCCGATTAACCAAGTATGCAGCTGGAGAAATCGAGTAGAACATTTAAATGTCCCAGACTTGAACGAAGACAGATTCCGATTTGTTAGTCCGAAGGACTTTTTGAACTGGGCCCGAGCGGCATGTTTTGTATCAGACATTGAAAAATGCTCCGAACTCAACTTGAACAACTCAAAAAACTCGCCAACTTCTATTTGGTCAACCAAACTCATGAAATGTAAATGTTTTTTTTTAAGAGACCCTAACTTTGGCAGCTGCGGCCTTATTGAAGAAACGCCGCTGCCAGGACTCGACTTGGCGTTTCCCAAAAGGAAAATTAACTAGAAACAACTGAAATAGATAATCAGTTTCTACTGGAAAATGAACGCCAAGCCAGCCAATTTAATACCGTTCTGGTATTAATAGATACAGGGAAACCATTAGACGAGTAACGAGCGCGGAGTGCGCACGAAGAGCGCAGATTTGTCTAAAATTAAGTTCTGCATGCACGCATCAGAGACCGACTTTTGATACTAATGATCAAGAGCACAAAACATCTTAATGACCGTGCGGAGACCTGCAATCTGAGATTTTTATGCGCTAAAATAAATAAGTGCTCGTGTTTATGGGTGGAAATGATGACATGCATCGAGAACTTAATACATACCCATGGGTGGCATGCATACGCTCTAATTTTCGGTTCATGGACCGTTCGTTTGGTTTCTTTTGGCTTGCGCAACCGTGTCTTTTCCATCGAAAATTCACCACCAACAGCTCTCCTTTTTTTTACAAACTTCTTTTTGGGTATTTCGCCTCAAAAATTTTTGTCTTTAAAAAAGACAGAATTT